CATAATATACACTTCCATATTACAATTAAAACATGTAATGAATGTATTACAATTTCATACCTACATACTATAATTATTATTGTTATATAAATTGTGCGTGAACATACACGCACTTACAAATTGTATTTTAACAAAAATTTAATTCAAATTTATAATTTTTTTTTTTAATTTGTATGCATGTGTTCGTATCCGCAACTAAATACAAGTTAGTATGTGTGTGAAATAACTATACAAAATAGAGTGAGTGCGTATAAGTATCTTCTTCTTTGCGTTTATTTCAGAATTGATGGTGTTGCTAATTTTTTTTTGTTTGTAATTTTTTATTCTACATACATTAATTTTATGCCTACATATGTACATATGTATATACTTACATTTTCATATCAATATGTGTACAAATATAAACATATGTATGCTTATATAACTATTATTTTTTTGGTCAAAAACAAATTTATAATTTATATAGGTGGGTATATTATTATGTATAACAGTATGTGTATTGATATCGCGTGCAAAACCTTGAACTTTTAAAAAAGTTTTTGGAGGACATTCAAGTATAACAATTTTTTTATTATTATTATTTTTTTTTATTAATAAACAAAGAGAGCAAACAAAAAGCAAAATTAAATATTTATAGGTATTTACGCACAAAATATGTACGAAAATTATGCGTACATGCGTACATACATACTTATGTACATATAAACAAACTGATATATGAAATTTGCTAAAAATATTTGTATTTTAAATTAAAGTCTTTTGTGTGAAATGTTAATATGTATATATATACGGAAAAATGTATTCATAATGGGTGTACATGCATATATATACATATATATGTAGGTACTTATAATATAAAATTAAAAGAAATTCGGTACAAGTTTAAAAAAACAAGAAAAATATAAAAAAAAATTGTTTTTTTTTTTTTTTTGCAGATATTCGCGGGGTTCATTTTCGCAGACGTTATTTTAAAATAAAATAGAGAAAAAAAAACACAACACTTTTTTTTTTTTTTTTCAAATGCTTTCATGATTTCATGGTTCGATAGTGATAGAAAATTCATATTTCTCTATATACAAAATAAATAAGTAGACATAATTAGAAAAATTACTTAATTTATGAGATTTTTGGCCTCTTTTAAATTTTTATATGAAAAAAAAATCTTTTTTTTTTCCTTAGAATTTGGAGAAGAATAAAAAATAGAATTATTAAAAATTTTTAGCACGTCTACATTTATAATTATGATTAATTCTTAGAATTAATTATTATTAAACAGAGACTGTAGGCCATTTTGTTTAAGTTGTCTTTTTAGATCATTTTATTTAATTTGTTTTCACATACATCAGTAAGTATAATCAAAAATTCTAATACATATATGTAAGTATATATGTAACGTATGTACATATACAAAAATAGAACCTTAATGCAATAGTACTCTGCAGACAGTTGATTGGGCATCGAAATCAGTTGTTACCCTAACCAAATTTCAATTAAATTGAAAATGGAGTTTGACAATGTATTTAAAGATTTATAATTGCAAAAACAGGTTCAAAATCATCGAAGTTAAGCCAAATTTTACCAGATTTTACTATAAGTGATCAAGGCCACAATGTGTTTTAAGCAATTGTTGAATTTCTGCGAAAATTAATGTGCATATTTTCTTTCAAAAACTTCTGGAGGAAAATGGAAAATTTTTCATAAAATCTCTTTAGAAATCTTATCAATTTCGACGGCTAAGACTTACTTATTAAGAAATTTTAGCTTTCTAATGTTTGGTCAATTTTTAAATATATAAATAATTGCCGATAGGCTGCCGAATTGCCGACAGACTGATGAAAAATTTGATTATATTTATTTAGTTTCTAACTCATTTTGATTTTAAAAGTGCCGTACTTACTAAAAGGGTTCTTTTTTAAAACATTATTGTCAAATTTTAATAAGAACACGAGACAATTAGTAAATGTTCCATCTGAAAAAGCAAACAAAAAATCTTAAATGTTCTCTGTATTGTGATAAATAAAAGCCCATACTGTTTGTTTCCATGCTTCGAATTTTATTGATACTCGCATATCAAATTTGAAAAGTACCATAACTCTCAAAATCCATTTTTACTAAATGTTGAACTCTAAATCAATTAAGTGTATTTGATGACGGACGCAAAACAGAAGAACATTTAAAATTTCTACATATTGAATTTTGTTTGATTAGAATTCAATCAGATATTCACATACATATATACAAATACAAGTAAGATTTCCTGTAAAAAACAAAAACTAAATCCGACCTGCGTCATTTTAAGTATACTTATATCACACATTTACATATACCGTTTACATATATTGGTGTGTGTTCTTATATAAATCTCCTTATTTATATAAGGCGCGCGATCACAGTTGATTTTATTTTTTTTTTACTTTTTTTTTTCTATTTTTAATTTTTCGAAAAGGTTTTTAACATAATCAAGGACAATGCCAGCATGCTCTAATTTCAAGGTAAAGGTGAAGGTAAAGGTACATAATAAGTAATTCACAAAAAAAAAAAACAAAAACAAAAAGTTCATATATATACTTAAAAAAATATTTGAAAAAAAAAAAGGAAAATAAATTGGTATGTCTACAATAATGAAAAAAAGAGGTTCTTGATAAAGCTGTATAGACAGACTAAACGACACAATAGCACGATTTTCAAGTCTGGGTTCATAAACTAAACAATAGAAGAATTATACAAAAAAAAAAATTAGGAGAAAAATAAAATGTACAAAAAAAATTTTTGGATTAAGACGCAATTTAAATCGTATATGTGTACGCTTCCTCATTTATTACAATTGTTATGTTTAGACTACTTTTTTATTGTTTTTGTTGTTGTTTTTATTGTTAATTTTCCCTCATTATTACACAATGAAATACTAGTTTATTTTCTATATATTTTGACTTCCTATTCATACAAAATTATTTATCCTTTTTACTGAAAAAAAAAAACAAAATACAACAAAATGCGTAATTGGAACTCTATGATCAACTATCATGACAACTATTACGACAATGATTAATATCATCATAGTGAAATCATTGCATAAAGGTGAAAAAAAAAAGTATAAAGCAAAAACAGCAGCGACCTCTTTATATCAGTTAATTTTGTGTATTAACCGAAAATAAAAAAACAAAAAAAAAAGAAAACAGGAAAAAATATTAAATGTAGACCTTTTAAGAGGCGTATTTCCTGTCTACATCCTGATATGTGTAGGATACTGAAATTTTTTGTCTACATTCACACATAGTTTTTGTTTTGTTTAGCGCTCCAAATTTAAACTAAATTTCACTTTTAAAATAATTTTTTTTTTTCGCTTTACAATTTTTTATACCCTGCACTTCGTGAAGGGTATATTAACTTTGGTATGGAGTTTGTAACTACTTGAAGGAGTCATCTGCGGTATGGACATATATATATATTCTTGCTCAGCGTAAAATTCTGCGTCGATTTAGACATGTCCGTCCGTCCGTCCGTCCGTCCGTCCGTCCGTCCGTCCGTCCGTCCGTCCGTCCGTCCGTCCGATCGCACGATAACTCAAAAACGAATAATGCAATCGACACCAAACTTTCACAAGTTTTTTCTTTTGTGCCAAGGACGAACCCTATTGTTATTGGACTAAGTCGGACAACGGGTTCGGGTAGCTGCCATACAACTCCAAGAGTTTATTTTAAATATTTCAAAAACTAATAAAGCTATAAATATAAAATTTTGTATACGTGTGTCCAATTATATTCTACACATGCTTTGAAAATTATAATGGGATAGCTTCACCGGTTCGGGTGGCTGCCATACAACTCCAACGGCAAATTTTTTATATTCGGCAAAATAACAAAGTCAGATTCATGAAACTTGGCAGCCATGTGTCCAATTATAGGTCAAATATATTGCAGAAGTTTTAGAGGAATTGCTTGACAGGTTCGGGTACCTGCCATACAACTCCAGAAGCTAATTTTAAATATTTTCAAAAATAATAAAGTCAGATTCATGAAACTTGGCAGTCATGTGTCCAAATATGGGTCAAATATATTTCTGAAGTTTTGGTGGAATTGCTTGACAGGTTCGAGTAGCTCCCATACAAGTCTAAAAGCTTATTTTAAATATTTGGAAAAATAATAAAGTCAAATTCATGAGACTTGGCAGTCGTGTGTCCAATTATAGGCCAGACATATTTCTAAAGTTTTGGTGGGATTGCTTGACAGGTTCGAGTAGCTCCCATACAAGTCTAAAAGATTATTCTTAATATTTTAAAAAATAATAAAGTCAGATTCATGCAACTTGGCAGTTGTGTGTCCGATTATAGATCAGATATATTTGTGAAGTTTTGATGGAATTGCTTGACAGGTTCGGGTACTTGCCATACAACTCCAAAAGCTTATTTTACATATTTGGCAAAATAATAAAGTCAGATTCATGAAACTTGGCAGTCGGATGTCCAATTATGGATGGTCAGACATGTCCGTGAAGTTTCTATAGAATGATTTCACAGGTTCGAGTAATTGCTGCACAATAACGAAAGGTGCAGGGTATAATTCAATCGGTTTATACCGACTGAAACGTTTTTACTTGTTTTACATTTACTTTCAATTGAAAATATTCTTTAATTTTTTCTTCACAAAATCGAGGAAAAAAAATTTTTTTCGGTATCCTTGTACACGTATGTATATACATGATTTTTATCCCGGAAAAAAAAAATCCGCTCAGGTGTTCAAAATTTAAAATTATAATTTTTTTTTTTTTAACACGTGCCATCATTCAATGCGTACTTATTTATGTAATTAATAATTATATAACATAAAATTTGATACATAAAATGTGCCATTTTCAAAATTATTTCAAATATACTTGTAAAAAAATTATCGCGATTTTTATCATCATCTGATCATAATAATATAAATAAAATTTATAATAATACATGTTTCAAATATATACGTATATATGTATGTTAAAATAAAAGTGAAAAATTAGCTTACCTTGCACCCTTCACATGAATGAACACCATAATGGAAACCGGAAGCTTTATCACCACATACTCGACATAGAACTGTTGTACCGTCAAATTCTAAAAAAAAAGAAGAAAAAAATACAATGTTAATTAATATATAAGTAATTATGTGAAATACATGTAATTTGTGATATTTGGAAAATGAAATGAAATTGGAATTTGGGTTACACAACTTTTAGTCAAATTTTTAAATTAAATGGTTTTTCGTACCACAAAACGTGGTATAAATTATATATGAAATATTTAAGTACATAATAAAAATTTTATGACCTTCTCTAAATTTACAAAGATCTTATTCAATTAAAATTAATTTTAAAACTAGAATAAATTTTCAAATTACCGAAAGCTGGAATATCGATTTTACTTTTACTTGAAGCTAGTCCGTATTTTTAGATTAAAATCTTTATTCTTTAAATTCAAATTATTTAATTAAGTCTATTAATAAAAAGAAAAGTAAATTATTCTTAATAAATTACAATTAATTAAGAAGGAAACTATGCTTTGGAAACGGGTTAATAATAGAGCTATGAAATTTCATTTATCATTTTTGTTTGATTTTCCCTTACTCAAATATTTGATAAACATTTAATTTCTTATTTATATGAAATAGTAAATTCAGATTAGTAAAATCAAAAAAAGATTTGTAATCATCACTGATCAGTTTTTTTCTTAAAATTCTCAAAATACATAAATTTTTAAGATTGGCTTGTACCTGTTAGTTATTCTTTGATCATTTGCATAAAAATTAAAGAAAATAATAAATCAAAAATTAAAATCGGTAGCAAAAAAAATTAGACAAAATTTACAAATAATTTCAGCTTATTCATAAATGAATAATTTGAAATACATACACACGTACATATGTACAAAGTAATTCTTAAATTCCAATAATAACAAAAAAACTCAAAAAGAAAAGAAATTTTTCCAATATTTTCAATTCCATATGCTTGAAAAAAAAAATCTGCAACACAAAAAAGAAAAAAAAATTAAAATACAAAAGTGTATTCAATTTATTACATAATATACCCGTTGTACACTCATCATAACAACAAATTATATAACTTTCTACTCTTTCACTTGAACTTGAAAAGAAAGTTAAAACATCATAAACAGAATAAAAAAAAAAAACTATAATAAAAAAAAAATTTTCAATAAAATTTAATTTCATTAAAAGAAAGGTGAAATGGCATGCATACACTTTATATACATACATACATATATACTTATTTGTACGTACCAGTGTATGCACATTAATTTTAATAAAAAAATTTACTCGCAATTTCACTACTTTCACAGCAAAATCAAAAGAAACAGAAAATATTGTATGGTAGCAAAATGAGAAAGAAGAAATTCTTTCTAAAAACCAGTTTTACAATGTAAAAGAAAAAATGAAAAACAACTAATCAAAAATTTATCCCACATAATAAGAAGTTAAACCAGACTATGTAGTCATACTTTCACCAAAAAATTCTATGAATAGCAGCAACAGTACAGCAGCAGCAGCAGCAGTAACAAAATAACAAAAGCAAAAGAGAAAAAAAATTCATTAAAAAGACTTGAAATTTCTCTTTACCCTTTTTCTTTTCCCCTCTTTAGTTTTCTTTATACAACATTAGTGTAGTAGAATTTGAAAGAGGTAAAAAAATAATTTTTTCTGGCTGTCGGCTGTTGTTATCTTCTTTCCGTTCTTCTCTTTACTTTTTATTTTCTATTTTTTTTTTATCAGAAAGAATTTCTTTTTTCAAGTTTATTTTTAATTTTTTTTATAGAAATGTAATTTTTATATGTTGAGTATGTTAATGTTACTGTAGATATTTTAACATAGTGTAATATTATGTTATGTATAGAATATTTTATAATAACATTTTTCTTGTATTCGCTCTAAGTTCTTAAAATGTAGAGAAAGGTGATTTAAAAAAAAAAAAATCAAACAAGAAAAAATTATTCTATTTTTATATATGTATGTATACGTATGTATGTACATAAGAAAATTAAAAAGGAAAATAAAAGAAAATTAAAAGTTAAAGAAAAAATAAAAAGTGAATATAAAATGAAAAATTACTGTAGCATTGCATTCAGTAGGAAAAGAAAAATGCAATATACAATTGAAATAAAAATCTCTTTTCCTCTTCTTATCGCTTTCTTAAATAAATATAAACATACATACATACATATATAAAATGTGATGCTTTGTGAATTCGTTCGATGAAAATGCAATATAGACTGTTATACGATGAAAATTCGTTGGTATTAAAAACTGGCATGGCATTGTAACAATTTTTTTCCTTTTTTTTTAAATAATTATTAATTTTCCTTTCCTTCTTCTGTTTCTTTTATAATTTAATTTCAAGTGCACTAATACCAAGATATATTAATAAATTTTATAATTTTATAACAATGATGATGATGTTGCTTTTGTTCGTGAAAAGTTGGTTGACCCAGGACAAGTTGAATTCAATATATATGACCGAGGAAAATTTAATATATATTTATTGGACTTGATGAAACATTTAATATCATAAAAAAATTGTAATAACCTGATCCAATAAATTTATTTACCTAATTAAAAATTATTTATTTAATAATTTTTGAAAATCCATGGCGCATTATGATGGTTTATATGAGATTTTTGAGCGGGTGGGTGGGTGTGGTAGCCGTATGATTTCAGATCAGCAATATGTTATAATAATTTTTCTTTTTTAATTTTCCCACTTTATTTTTATTTTTCACACTGTTTTTCGCCTTTACAGATATAATTTACTTTTACTCGTCTAAATGACAGATAAAGTGAATAAATAAATAGCCAAAATAAATAAAATAATAAGTAAGTATATATGAGTATATAAGAAAAAATATACTTGAATTTAATTCAAGTAAAAATTATAATAGGGAAAATAATAACAAAAAAATATACAGAGAAAAAAAAAATTATTTCTCTTTTTTTTTTGCGTTAAAAACACAAAGTAATTGGTGCGGGGGCAAAATTATTTATTATAATGTTCTTATCATTTTCATGTATGTATATTTATTATATTATTTTGTGGCTGAAAATGTTATAATATATGAAAAGAACCTTCAATTTATTTTATACTAAAATAATATAGATTTAAATATAAATATTATAATAATATATGAAATTCTTGTGAATTTTTAAGAAGGTGGAAAATAATAATAAGATTTGTATTTGAAGAAAGCAAGGTAAACCGATTCTTTTTGTATATATAATAAAAATTAAATGGAAATATGCAAGTAAATTACAAAATAAATATTTTTGTGTTATACATAACAGGAGTAGCTTTATAATTTCTGCCTCATAATAAAATTCTGAGTATAAATTCATTTTGAAAAATGATGACCGGCATTCTTTCGATATATTCTAATAATTTTAATTAAAATATGTGTAAAATCTCATTTTAATTAATTATTGATTAAATTAAATTCCTCTAATTTTTCTATATTGAATTCTTGAATTAAAATTTTTTAATTATTTTGTTATATACTCACATTTTTTTTTAGTATAAGTAAGTATATCTAAAAATAAAATCTGATATCATAACTAGCTAGGTTATTATTAAAATAATTTAATTTTAATTTTTTTTTAAATTTCCTATTAAAATTTTTAAGACATAAGTAATGGTATATATCAAAAATGACAAATTTTGTAATTATTATATAGTATTTTTTTTCTATATTATAACATAGCTAAGTTTTAATAATAAAATATACATGTTGGTATGTGAATAAGTGTATGTATGCTCACTTAAATTATTGTTAATAGTGTTATATAATTAAAATTTAAAGATTTTATGAATATTATTTTTTTGGTTAAACATTTTTATCTTCTTTATTATATTTTTATTAAAAATAACACACAAAATACAAATTATATACAATAAAAATTAAATTAATTAAATTAAAAAGCAAAAAAAAAAACAAAATGAGAATATGATTGTCAAGGTTACGAGCCGTTTTATTACGTAATAACAAAAAATCATGTTCTAAAGAATAATTGCTAAATTTTTTTTTTTATTGTTTTTTATTATTTTTATTTTTAGAACATAATATGTACATATACTAGTTCTGTGTTTTCTTCTGTGTATTTTTTTTTAATGATTAATAGACAGAAATTTATTTTGTTTTATTTTGTATTTATTTTAATAGTTAATTCATCTTAATTCAATATATTATAAAATTTCCTAAAATTTTTTAAATTAAATTATAAGTATAAGCCTAGAATTTTTCAATAAGAAAAAAAATTTTAAATTTTTAGCTATATAGGTTTTTAGATGATGTCAGTAAATTATTTTAATTTATATTTTACATGAGTATAAAGACTTTGTGAGGAATTCATAGTAATTTTAAAATTTAATCTATAATTTAATTATCTACTTATTACATAACATGAAATTAAACATTAAAATATAAACATTGTTAATATTTTAACAGATGACATTTGGTTAAATTTGAAAATGCAATTGAACGTATTCCAAATTTAATTTTATTTTATAATTATATTAAAATTATCACTGAATAATGTACAAAACAATAAAATTTAAATTTAATAATAATAATATTAATGCCAAAGCGAATTTTATTCTTCTTCCGCAATACATTAAGTTTTATTTTTGTAAGTATGTATATATATTCAAAATATTGCAATAGCATTTCTCATATACTCTTTCTAGAGAAGAATAAAATATTTATGCAAGTAAGTGTTATGCATATATTATTTAATGATCTTTTTTCTATGTTTCATTATTATTTTAAATCAAAATATTTAAGTTGAATAGAATGAGTTGCGTTTCTGATGAATCAAAAAGAGAATATAAGAAGCAGAAAACAAAAAACAAAAAAAAAAAAGAAAAATAAGAAAGAGAACCTTTAAAACTGGTATACCTCGCGCAAAAGGAATCACTTTTAGAAAGCACATTAACCTTTGTGGTTGAGGACAGTGGCCTTTACACCATTTTTTTTTTTGCTTTTTTATATTATAACAAAATCTATTTGTCTTTTTCTCTTATACTCATAAAATTCTATTTTTCCATTCTAATTTGCTC